TAATGTGGGAAAGCCAAGAGAGAAGTCTGACCAGAAGAGAGAAAATTAGCTGGCCTTAAGAAAAGAACCTGTGCTAAGAACTCTGGAAAAGAATTTGAAAAACTGATGGTGAAAGTCTGCCAGGAAGGATGTTTGAACAGGGGAATGACATGATGAAAGAGTTGTTTTAAGATCAATCTCAATATATGAAAATGCTGTGATCCTGGACAGGAAGGCTGAACATTATAATGCTGTCAATTCTACCACAAATAAGTTCTAGGTTTAAAGTCATTTCAACTTAAATCCCAACGTTGCTTTAAGATTATCTGGAATAAATGGGCATGGACAATGAAGAAACTTTAAGAAAAAAAAAAAAAAGAAAGAATATTTGCTTACCTGATTTAAAAAGATATAATAGTATAGCTAGGACAGAAGATTAGATGACCACATTAAAAGAAAGAACATGAAGTATAGAGAGAAGTGGGTCATAATCTATAATTATGAAATAATATACCCCAAGGTGGCATTTGAATTTCTTCTCTGGTAATGTCCTTAGCCCATTTTTTGTTGTTGTATTGGGTTATTCACTATTTTCTTATTTATAAAAGCTTATCATGTATTCAGAACACTAGCCCTTTGTTAGTCAAATATGTGGTCTTTTGTGGGGAAGCACGGGACTTGGTTGTAATGTCTGTAAGGAGGATTCACCGAAAGGTCGGGGGCCTCTGGGGGGACCTTGACGAAGGCAGCAGTCTCTACCTTGATTTTTCCAAACAAGTCTGACCCCCCCAGGTGTTTTACTAGAACCTTTATGTTTAGACTTCAAAACATCCTTGTTTAAAAGACACCACATTTGCAGGCACTTTCTCAAGGATGGTTACCCTGGTGATTGTATCTAAAGGTTAATTTTAGTTCAAGCTGTTGTGACAATAAAAGCCTAAAGGAGGCAGGTGAACAGGGCCCTTTGCTCCTTAAGCAAGCAGCCCCTTAGCCCTCTCTGTCACAGAAAGGGCTAGTGTGTCAGAGTAATCATTCATCCGTCATTCAGGGTCTGCCGGTCAGCTCTGGCAGTCTTTTGATGTTCTTTGATATACAGAATATTTAAATGTTTTATTTGATGAAATTATACCAACCTTTTATGTTACAGTTTCTACTCCTGAGTGAGGGGATATAACTTAGAAATACTATTATATTCTAGAATTTTATTTTTTACATTAAAATGTTAAAATGAAGTTAATTTTATTGTAAAGAATGAGATGGAGCTGTAACTTATTTTCATAATGGTTTGCCACTGATTTAAAAACATCCTTTTCATATATTTAATTATTACATTTATTTGGGCTTGTTCCTATACTTCTTTTGTTCCACTGACCTGTCACTTTCTGCAACAATACCACACTTTACAATTTTTAACACTTTAGAACATATTTTAATATTTGACAACACAAAGCCCACGTCCTAGGATAAAAATGGGAAAAAAATTCCAATATTTTATTCACCTTAGGCCCAAAGTCTACTTTGATAGAACACTGTGTTCTTATTTAAAAAAACACTCATATTAAAGTTTGTAAAGCACAGCCTAAAAAAAATGTGTCAAACAGCCTGGCTGGTGAAGCTCAATGGTTGAATGTGGATGCATGTACCGAGAGGTTCAATTCCCAGTCAGGGCACATGCCTGGGTTTCGGGCTCCTTCCCCAGTATGAAAATGCAGGAAGCAGAACATCAATGTCTCTCTGCCATTGATATTTCTCTCTCTCTCCCCCTCTCCCTTTCTTTCTCTTTAAAAATCAATAAAAATTTTTTTAAAAAAGTTTCAGTTAAATTATTAGTGCCAAAATTCTCTTATAAAATCATGTGATAATGTTTGACAGGATATACAAAACCCCTTGTTGTATAAGAAGAGCTACACATTGCCCCAGTGTTACCCTTTCCTGTGCAAAGCTGGACCTTCAGACTGATACACTGCACTAGGCTGAGCTGTCAGGCTGCAGATACCTGAGCATGTCCTTCTGTGCCTGCTCTGGGGACTCCGTGTCATCTGAGTTGTACTCCCAAGTCCACAGGCTCCCTTAGAGTCTTGGTACCTGGGAATACAGCAGTGGTAGCACACCGCTGTGCTGTGACCTGGAGTTTGTTTCCAGTGATAGACAGAAACCCAAAGTGGGACACACAGGCTCCCCCTAATGGCTTTTTCCTGATAAAACATCCCCTCATCATAGTTTCCCAAAAGATCTTGGCTCTTCTAACTTGTTTATTCTTCTGGACCGGAGGACGCACATCACTCTCTGTAGTTAGGGGAGTTATGGTACATTAGAGGCTTTTACATAGACAGGCATTCCTCACTGTCTGAATGCTTGCTACATGTTACCTGAAACCCATGGACCAAATACACTTGGATAACTGATAATCTTCACCATCTGAACTCAGGAACTATAAAGACTCAGACAGTAAGGGAGCGATACAGTAAGGGAGTATCATGGGGGCTAGGATATTTTGGGGAAGAGCCCATTGGTCTCCATCAGTAGCTGAGATTAAGAACAATGAGGATAAGTAGGGCTTCCTAGGGTCCTTCTACTGGGTCTAGCAGGCCCGAGGGCTCAGAGACTGTCCTGACAAGACCCATAAGGCATTGAGGGGGTGGCAGAATCATCAAGATGAATCAGATCAGATCAGGACATGGGTGCACTGTAAGCCAAAAAGATTATTCTGGGGGAAAAAATGAGGCTATTGGAGGGCTTTGAGTAGGAGAATCACATTTGTTTTCTGTGTTTTAAAGATCATTTTGGCTGCTGTGCAGATGAGGCTAAACTAGAAACCAGGAGACTAATAGTCCAGGCAGGAGTTGATGGTGGTTTGGGATTGGATGGTAGTAATGGAGGTGGTGACAAGGAGTGGCTCAAGATGTATTCTGAAGACATACTGAGGTCTGACTAATGTATTAGATGGGAAGTGAGGAGGAAAGTGAGGCACTGAGCGTTCCTCTAGGTTTCTGGCCTGAGCAACTGGGTGAATGAAATGGGGCAGGCTGGTGGTTGAGCAGGTCAGGAGTGTGGGGGTCTATAAGGGGAAACAAGAGTTCTCTTTGGGACATCCTCAGTTTGAAATCACTCCAGGCATTGATAAAGTTGGTTATGACAGTCTGGAGTCTGGGGAAAAGGTCAGAATGGAACTCCTCATCTTGCACTCCGTATATACACATAGCAGCTGAATGAAATGTTCAACTGCTTGACCTGCGGTTGCCACATGTTTTTGGCTGATGCTTTTATTCATGTCACCACCTGGCTGGAACACCCTTTCAACCTTTCTCTTGATGACTGACTCGCCCTTGAAAACTAAGATCCACGTACTCGCCTCCAAAGGCTTTCTGGGAACAGCAGGTTGTTAGGAGCCGCCCATCTGTGCCTCTGTGGCTAACCAGGTCAGAAGCGAGCTGCCCACTAGGTGCTCTGTATCCCCAGCTTTCGGTCCGAGCTCGGCACATGGTAGGAGCTGTGCTCCTCCTGTTTAAGAAGGGGCGCGCTCAGACCTGCTTCCCTTCCCTCGTGGAGAGAGCCTCTGAGGCCTTGGCTACTAAAGGTAGAGGAGGGGTGGTTCCACAGTCACATTCCTCGGGAAACTTCCCAAACCGCTCCGAGACCTAGCGGACCACTGACCCCGCTCCCCCACCTCTCCGACGGTTTCACAC